GCTGGGCGGGGCACAGCGGAACAACGAGATTGCTCCCCGCCTCGCCTTTCCTCAATTGGCCTTGCGGTTGGCAGCGCTCTCTCCTTTGGCGCATCGCTCCTTGCTGTCCACCGCTGTTCGCCCGTCTGTCCGTTGCTGCCCGTCCGGCCTCTATGGATCCCTCTGCATTTTATAGTTTTTGCATGCTGCCAATGCCTGTCGACACCCTTAAGCGGTCAATTGACCATGTCGTCTCCTGTCCAGTTTCCTGTCTGCACTACTGTGTATTGCTAGTACCCTACTCTCTCTGCCTGTCCACCCTTCCGTCATTAGTATAACGGTGCACGCCACTCTGTCTTACTTTTTTTGTCCGACGACTACGTATCTGTCTTGTCCAACTCCCTGTCAGCCTGCTAGGGCCACCTCTCCTCTATCTGTGTCCACGTCCCCTGTCCGTTTGCTGTCTAGTACTCTCCATCGCGTCCTCTAAACAAGCGCGGCCCTCGCTGGGCAGGGAGAGCCGGGGCGAAGAAGAGAGCAAATCGATGGACAGCCTCCAGCAGCTAGGGCGTGGTGGTCTTGTCCTGGCGGTGCGGGGCGGGGTGGGGCGGGACGGGACGGCTGGCAGGCCTACGGCCACGCCGCGACGCCTCGGCTGCTTTTTACGACCAAACAACAACAACAGGGGACAGCTAGCGCTAGCAGGACCGTTTTGAGACGAGAGGCCATCCTATCGTCGACTCTTCGGCTGACACTGCCCGGATTTTTCGCCCGCAGTCCCCCTATTTCTCTCCCCCCTCTCTCTCTCTCTCTCTCTCTCTCTCTCTCTCTCTCTCTCTCTCTCTCTCTCTCTCTCTCTCTCTCTCTCTCTCACCGCGCTAGACCAGCGAGATCCAGCCGAGCAAGCAGAGCAATGGTGAACGCGCGCAAGCAATCAAATCAGCAACACAACTTTTGAGAGCCACGGGGCACAATGGAGCGAAGCGGCGCCGCCCTCCGCTCTGCTACTCTGCCAAGCAAATTGTTCCGTTAAATTTGGAGTGATTGTCGCGCCGATTTGGGCTATGACAATTGTTGTTTAGATCATTCATGATGATGACCTCATACGCAGAAAAAGACACATCTTAAATAATTTAGAATATTTAACTTGAATTCTATTTTACACTGTCAAATCTCCACAACAAAACAAAGACATTTACTGATGACTACATTGAAATGAGGTACTTTTTGAGCGAGTGAAGAAGAAAAAAAACATCGTCTGCTCCCGTACCAACTTATAGATATAGCTCTATACAGTTCCCAGAGTTCTTCCACTACCGCGTAGCATAAGGTTTGGATGGAGGTGAGAGGATCTGGGAAAATGTCTACTGGGTTTTCACGTAACTTCACTGGAAATAGAAATAAATGAGTCTATCGGGTCGAGCTGCCCCGGAAAACCATAGAAAATGTCTTTTTCCTGGTACAGAAAAAAAGGGAACAAGATAGTGACGGTGGATCACGGCGCTTCAACACGCCCTAAGCAAAGACTACCCATCAGGAACACGTGTATTCAAAATGAAAATAATGGGAGAGAGTGTTGCGGAATAAAACCCTTTTCTACTCTCCGCCCCACCCGGGCGATAGTCCGGGGATTAGAGGGGAAAATGGCAGAAGGAGGGGAGAGGGGGGCGGGAATGAGATTGGAAAATAATGTCGGCATAGGAGAAAAGCCTGTCTGCAGCTCGGCTCTCGCTGTGTTTATAAACATTATATCGTGGTCCCCCCGAATAAAAATAAAAAGTTGTTCCTCCTCTTCTTGTCTCTGTTTGCGAAAATCACAATAATACGTCGTCGCAAGGCTGGTGAGGCGCATGCGCTCACAGCACCAGACTAAGGGGGGTGGGCGGGAGGAGTATGAATAGTAATGACGTGAGAGACGAGATAAGAGACGGCCTTCTCCTCATCCTCCTCGTCCTCCTCCTCCTCCTCCCTCTTCTTCTTCTTCTTCTTTTTCTTCTTCTTCTTCTTCTTCTTCTTCTTCTTCTTCTTCTTCTTCTTCTTCTTCTTCTTCTTCTTCTTCTTCTTCTTCTTCTTCTTCTTCT